ATCGATATTAAGTTAATATCGATAATCAGAAATACATCGCTCTCGCTGAATACATAATTTCAGACAAAAGAACATACACATTCGCGCACACACATATGTACACAGCAGTAGCCATAGACACAGACGAAGGAAGAACAAGCAGCAGAGGAGAATGCGAATAAGAACTGCGTATATGTATGTGGAAATACAAAACAGCAGACACAACGAACAGTGTGCTTTTTCGGCATAGATCTCAAGCCTCAGACGAATTAAATCGACGCAATTAAAACGCACAATCTAATCAAAAATCATCGACAAACAAGCCGCTGGCATAAATTGTGATCAAACAGCTGTGGAAGTGGAAAGGGCACCAAAAAAGTAATCATAAAGTGCGAAAGGTCAGCAGCAGGAACATTTCGCTGTATATCAAACTGTGTGCTTGTGTGTGTATGTGTATGTGTGTCTAGCTGTCACTTTCTTGCGCGCGCACAAGACATACACAAATTAAAATCAGCGACAACCCCTCCCCCACAACCCATCAAAGACAAAACTTGACATACGCGCCCGGTTCCGGTGCTATCGAGCCACCGCCGTTGGTCAGTTACCCGTCTCTAGGCCCATCAACAGCGCAACACTCGGTTGCAATCGCATACATATAAAAAAAAAAAGTGGAAGTGCGCGTTGCTGTGGTTGCATTTCCTTTTTGGTTCTGTTGCTATCTATGAGATTATAATCCACATTCAGCTCCAGGCATTAAGCGCAGGTGCCGGTGCCAACGTTGCCGTCGTCCTGCTGTTTACATGTGGAAGTTGTTGTACAGGTAAAGTTCGTGTATATATGCATAGTTACACTTTTGCTGTATGTGTGTGCGTTTTTTTTTTTCTTTTTTTTGCAACTTCGTTCCATGTTTGCCATTAGCAGCTAATGGGCTGCTACCAATATGTTCCAGATGCCAGTGGCTGGGCACACCTAAATAATGAGCTTTGCTTCTCGATTGCCATAGAATTTGTGTAATGTGTGACCAGGGTGCAGTTAATTTATCGCCCTAACTAATCGTTTTTGCGTTCGCACTTTTCTGTTCAGAACAAGTCTGTTTAATACGACGAAATTCGTTTAACCTTCCAATACTAATTAAATCAACACAAATACCACGCCAGCTTGGAGGGATTTGCAATACAAAACGAGGAAAGGCCTCCAATACCTACATGTACATACATACATATGTGTATATGAGAAAAAGCTGTATAATTTACGCCTGTTATAATTTTCCGATATTTAACATCTCGCTTATCACAAGGATATTTTGCGTTTGCTAGTTCCAGTTGTTTCATAGATGGCCTCCGGCTTGGTGCGCATACGTGTGTTTGTCTTTGCAGACAAGTGACCTTGGCATAAAACGCACCCACACACCTTCACACCTAACTCGCACAGCTACATCGTCAGCTGCTGCAGTTGTTATTGTCGAAGAGCAAACAGAAATCGTTGGATTGATAATACACGACTCTACACTTCCTGGCCTGTACTGTGCTACTGCTTGTGCACAAACACACGCACACATACACACACGGACAGACTCGTAATTATCACAAACATCGCCATAATATGGTCTCATGCTTTTTTATCAAGCAGACAGACTAGGGGGAAATCATCGTAGCCACACACATACACTTGCATGCAAATTATCAAGTTTTAATTATTTTAGCAGCACGCATACACACACACACACACACACAGACCATTCGCAGAGTTAAAGAGTGAAAAAAAAAAAAACTAACTGTTATACAAATTTTGTAGAAACGCTGACAACAACAAAGGACGCTGCAGAGGATCCAGAGGAGCCAAACAAAACATAAGACCTCAGCAGAACCAGAGTATTGAGCAGCTTTAATTGCTGTAGACCGATCTTTATCAATTGCAAACTGTAAACACTGCGGCGAAAATTAACAAAGCAGATCATCAAGACTGGAATATAAGAGCTAAAGGAGTTGCTGGAGCAGAGGTGGTGGCAGGCACGCGTGTTAAGCGTTAAGCCGGCTTTGTGTGTTGTACGCGTGTGCGGGGGAGGGGGGCGCGGTTGAGTGTCCACTATTCGTGAGATGTTGCCATTCACTCCGCAAGTGGTTAAACGTTTGTTAGCACTCAAAAAGGGCAACGAGGACAACAGTGTCGAGGGCAAGTGGTCCGAGAAGGCCGTCAGGAATCTGGTGAAGAAGATCAAAAAGAATTCACAGATTGAGGAACTAGAGCGCGCCATCTCCACACAGAACTGCAATACTCGGTGTGTGACTGTGCCGCGCAGCAAGCCCGCTGCCACCGGCGAAAGCCTACGCAAGGGCTTACCGCACGTCATATATTGCCGTTTGTGGCGCTGGCCCGATCTGCAGTCACAGAATGAATTGAAACCGCTCGAGCATTGCGAGTACGCGTTCCATTTGCGCAAGGACGATATCTGCATTAATCCGTATCACTATAAAAAGATTGAGCTATCAATATTGGTTCCCAAGTCGCTACCAACGCCTCCTGACTCCATTGTCGATTATCCATTGGACAATCATACGCATCAGATACCAAATAATACGGAATACAATGCTGCAATAATACGCAGCGCCTCGCTCAGTCCGCCACAGTATATGGAATTGGGTGGCAGCAGCAGCAACAGCAGCAGCAACAACACAACAGCAACTGGAGCCGGCGGCTATCAGCAGCAGCAGCAGCAGCAGCAGCAACAACAACAACAACAACACTCGCCGCTATCCTTTGGCAGCGTGGTAGGCGTGGGCCAGAACTTGCCGCCAGGCAGCTGCAACATGGACTCGCAATCCAGCGTGCTCAGCGTGGGCAGCAGCATACCCAACACGGGCACACCGCCGCCAGGCTATATGAGCGAGGATGGCGATCCAATTGATCCAAATGATAATATGAATATGTCGCGGCTAACACCGCCCGCCGATGCTGCACCAGTGATGTACCATGAGCCGGCCTTCTGGTGCTCCATATCCTACTATGAGCTAAATACACGAGTGGGCGAAACCTTTCACGCCTCACAGCCATCGATAACGGTGGACGGCTTTACCGATCCATCCAATTCGGAGCGCTTCTGTCTGGGCCTCCTCTCCAACGTGAATCGCAACGAGGTTGTTGAGCAAACCCGTCGCCATATTGGCAAAGGCGTTCGCCTCTACTATATTGGCGGCGAGGTCTTTGCCGAATGCCTAAGTGATTCGTCAATCTTCGTGCAGAGTCCCAATTGTAATCAGCGCTATGGCTGGCATCCGGCAACCGTTTGTAAAATACCGCCTGGATGCAATTTGAAGATCTTCAATAATCAGGAGTTTGCCGCCTTGCTCTCCCAATCGGTATCCCAGGGATTCGAGGCTGTTTATCAGCTAACGCGCATGTGCACCATTCGCATGTCCTTCGTTAAGGGCTGGGGCGCCGAATATCGCCGACAGACGGTTACCTCAACCCCCTGCTGGATCGAACTCCATTTGAATGGACCACTCCAGTGGCTCGATCGTGTACTCACCCAGATGGGCTCGCCTCGTTTGCCCTGCAGCTCCATGTCCTAAGTGTGGCAGCAAAACAAAACTCTACGACATATGTACATGTACACACACACATATATATATATATATATATATATATATATGTATATATGGAATATATATATTTATTTTTTTTTATCTATTCCACAAAGCGGAGCAATTAAAACACAAGAAGTGAGAACAAAAAAACAAACAAAAAGTGAAAAGAAAGGTAAACAAGAAGTTGCAGTCGGAAGATACCGACTGCCGGATACTCTGTTCCCAGTGTGTTTATACGACGAGTAGCAAAGGGATATGGCAAAAATATATAAACGTATGTATCTCGTCTTATATGGAGATCAGCAATAGTCCTTAAATGAAATTTCACTGTGACTAGCTTTCAAACAGTTTGGCTATAAAGCGTAATTTTTTTTTTTTTTTCGTTTCCTGAATGTGTCGTAAAAATCGAAATACTTGTACCTAAACCAAACATATAAGAGTGTCAGCAGACGTCACGGGCATTGTACGAAATCATTATTGAAATTTTTGTTTTTTCCTTTGGGAGCAGAGTACAAAATCAAAATTACAATTTTGAGAGCACATTAAATTAGATGTAGCCCATGCAGTTTGCACAGCGCTACAAAAAAAAAAAAAAAAAAAAAAAAAAAACAAAAAACAAAAAAAATAAGAGAACTACTATATTCTATCTATCTACATACATACATATACACAAATACGAGATCATGTATTTTGCGTTACATGCTTAGGGTTTTAGTGCGTAGGAATAGGCCAGATGGGTTGGGAGGATGGGACGTTGGGACGTTTGATTTTTTTTTGATAAGAATGGGCGGCTCCAAATTTTAAAACAAAAAAAAAAACATTTAACATTTTATACACAGTTTGTAGACATAGGAGAAGGTATAAATACGAAGGCAACTAAAAATGAATTAGATCCTGTTTAACAGTGTTTGCAATCGCGCACCGCCAAAAGAGCGACAGATTCAAAATTCTTTGTGAAAGAAACAAAACAAACGGTGATTTGGGAAATGTTTTTCTAAGCTTGATCAAAGCAAAGAAACAAAAAGCATGAAATGATACAAAAAAAAAAACAAAACAAAACAAAAAAACAGCAGTAACTGGGATTTTTCAAGCTTGAAGCTTACTACACACGTAAATACATATGAGCTAACTTACCACATTTAAATATAAATGTTAACAAATTAAAATATGTCATATGAATGTTGTTCGAACGTTTCAATTTATTGCTTCATGTGTTGTGTGTGTGTGTGTGTTTAAATCTTTAAATAACATTAATCAAGCAAATCGCAAAGTGAAGGCGTTTGTTGTCGTTTTAATAGTAAAAACAAAACAAGCAAAAAACCAAACAACACTTGCCGAGCAAAGTCTACATTTGTTGTTTTCTTACAAAAAAAAAAAAACAAAAACAAAAACATAAAAAAAGAATGTTATTTGCATTAAAAATTGTATCTTGACTTGTTTTTTTTTTTTTTTTTTTCATTTTAAGTGTTTAGCTTTCCCACGCTTTGTGTGCATGTTGCAAATGTCATAGAAGGCGAAATATTTTTTAAGTTAACGTTTAACTATCTTTTGCAAATCTGTTTTGTTTAGCTGTAAAATGCAATTTGTGACAACTAAAAATACAAATCAGTGTGGCCCTGCAGGCTGCAGTACAGCGTGTGATGCTGATTTATATGCTGTTTTGTTGCCGGTAAGCTGGTTACATTTGTATTTTTACTTGTTTAAACTGCACTTTGACAGTTCGGCTGCCGTATGTGTAAGAGAGAGAGAGAGAGAGAGAGCGAGAGAGGGCGAGGAGTCGAGTGTGGCCAGACAAGAATTCGGCAGTTGAGCTAGCCACACAAGTCCCAAATTTCGCTTGCATAAATACATATGTATGTATGTATGTACGTACAGGCATATGTACATATGTATATGCATATTTTTGCTAAAACAAATGTTATATTTAAAAATAACTGGAACAAACATATGTATGGAAACTAAAAGAAAATCAGAACCAAACTTAAAACACATTCAACGTATCTGCGAACGAAATTAAACTGACGCTGAAATTGTAACTGTAAAACTGAGAAAACCGATATGCGCAAATGCAAAAAGGCAAGCAAACCAATTACCAATACATATTAATATAATATACATACATATATCTTATATACATACATACATGCATGCAACAGGCGATCAGGCCTAAAGATAAAAATATACATACATAAATGAAAAAGAAAGTAAAAGCAAAAAAGCAAACAAAAAGGAAAACCATTCAAAACAAAAACCAAGAAACAATTCTATATGTATAAATCGTATATTTAAATAAACCTTATATTTTAGAACAAACGCCTAATTCAATCGCAACCTTTGGCCTTGTGCACCTTCAAATGTTGTTTATAATTCGATTTGCGCAAAAAACACGATCCGCACAGCGCACAGCGAAAGGGACGCAATCGCGTATGCGCTATCTGATGATGGTTCAGCTCCGAGGAGCTGAAAAAGCGCTTGCCGCAGCCCGGTTGCGGACAGGCGAAGTCTCGCTGATTATAGTGTCGCTTCAAATGCGTATTTAGATAGCACTGATCCGTTAGAATACGTCCGCAGATGGGGCAGGTATAGCTCAGCGAGGATGTGTGTGTGTCCGTGTAGCCCGTTCGCATTTCTTGCTGCTCATCCAGTTCCTTCTGATCCTGCTCCACTTCTGCTTCAATATCGACGCCGCTGACGCTGGCGTGCAGCAGCTTCACGTGCATTCGCCGCGCGTGTATGGAATGGAAGGACATGCTGCAGCTGGCCAGCGTGCATGCATAGGGTTTCTCGCCGGTGTGCAGGCGCCGGTGCACCGCCAAATAGTTGGCAAATCGAAATCCCTTGCCGCAGATGTCGCACTCGTATGGCCGCTGGTCGGTGTGCGTGACCGAGTGGATGCGTAGCTTGTTCAGCTGGCGGAATCCCTTGCCGCATACATCGCACACATGGGGCCGCTCGTTCGTGTGCGTCATCTTGTGTATGCGCAGGCCGTAGGCATCGCTGAAGCTGCGTCCGCACAGATCGCAAATGTTGGCCGCCTGTCGTCTTGTGTGCGTTGCTCGCTTCACCTTGGGCTTGCCCATTGACAGATGTGTCGGTTTCTGCGCCTGCCAAGCACTGCGCTATGAGAGTATGGGCCACAACAAAAGTGTCTTACCACTCACCTGCTGCACAAGATCCAAGCCAGCTGCTGCTGCCGGCACAAGCAGCACATCGTTGTCGAGCTCCAAATCGCCCAACTGCTCAAATAGCTGCACATCCTCTGTCAGGCAAAAGGCATAGCTGTCATCCGGCTCCAGCTGATCCAGCTGCTTCTGCTCCGTCACGAATTGCTGCTTCGGCTGACACGGCTGGTGCATGTTTATCAAGTGGTCGCCCAGCGATCCGCCGATCCAGCGTCACTCCGTATATATTATGTTATTTCTTCAGCACCGATAAGATTACGCCGTTTAACTGTTTCGGCCGCTTGTACTTGGGCATAAGCGGTGTGTCGGCTCCGGTCGCCGCTTCTTTTAATTTATTATTTTATCGTATTGCCCGCTAATAAAATGTGTCGGTAAATGCAATTGTTGTTGCTGCTGCTGCTGCTGCTGTTGTAATTCCACTTGCTATTTGCACTTTAAACATTTATTCGATTCCAATTCGAATTCCCCATTCGTTTGCAACGCGCGCACTTTGAACCACTCCGGACTTGGGCTAACCAACAGCCAGAACAGTCGAGCATGCCCACTTATATACACATACGCATACAAAATATCTGTACATATGTACATACTACATGCATGCATATGTATGTATATTGGTAATACAGGTCTTCAGTTTACGGTCCCAACCAAACAGTACTTTATCGACATGTGCACAGCGCACGGTCGTAGATAACACTGTGCAACAGAACTTTGAACATGGATTATATCGACACACATGTACATATGTTTCTAATAGCATGCATACACATGTAGTAGGTAAATTAGTCATGCTCTAACGGTATCATATCAATTATCTAACCTTCGCCCGACCCGCTCTATACACGATCTTAACTTAGACAGTCGAAGTTGATAAATTTATTTATTTCTTAAAACAATCATTTAATATTATAGCGTACCTTGGTATTTAAGTTTAAGTGCAACTAAATATTTCGAAAGACTCGTATAATTGAGAGAGAAACAGAAACATGTGTGCCTGAGGGAGCCCCTTATCGATTTAACATAATCAATTGAAGACTAAAAATTGATCATCTAATTGAGCTTTGAGCTCAACTTGCAAATCGTCTTGCAGAGAATAAGGTTTGATCGAATATCGTAGTTTTAATACCCTTCTTCCACAACATCATAACTCAAGAAAGTATGTCTGTTACCTTTAATGTCGACAATTAATTAACTAAGTGGTAAGAAAGTCCGTGTCAATTTCTCTTCACTAACGTCTTGCCAAGCATTCGAGTTTCATTATTCAGATGCCTGTATAAATGATTCTTGGCTTGTGTTCTGATCAAGAATATATTGCTGGATTGCAATTTAAGTGATCAAAAAAGCTGATTTTGGAATATTGATTATTTATTAAATTGTTGCAATCAATTTAGTTTCCTCTCGTATAAAACTTAATTTATTACTTATACGATTTTACTCTTCGAAAATTTATTTAAGATATATCTTGTTTAAAGAGAGGGTTACGAAGTCAAGTGATCTGTCCGTAGAATTTGGAAAAAAAAAAATTGTATAGAGGAAACTATATAGCGTACATTTTTGTATATTGACAAATTGTAAAGCTATAAAAAATTGTACGAATCTCCATCTCGAAATGGCCAATTGGAGCCGATAATGCAGAAATCAGAATTAGGCGAACAAATGCATGTTGTCCAGTGTAATTATCAGAGTAAAGGTGACATTGAAGGGGCTCGCTCAAGCATTCAATTAGGCCTGCAAGCTGTGCAACTGGCTAATGCCAACTCCAGCACGGTCTAAAGCGAGCTAGCAATAGGTCATATAACATTTACGAATCATGCATATATACATCATGTACATGTACATATATAATTAAGGAACAGCTTTGCGGAAAGAATGCAAACGACTATAACGCAATTTCATACAACTGAATTTTATGGCCGCTATGGCAAAAGGTAAACTGATAAAATATGATATTAATTTGATATCGAGTGATTGTGGCTACACTTTGAACTTTTGCAGGAGATGGCGAAGCTCCCTGTTCTGGCGACGCAGAAAAACGACCTCGGCATCGTATTGCACACGCATCTTAAGAACCTCGACATAGTGGTTAAGACCATGCTCCAGCGTCTTCCACAGATGGGTCTTTGAGTCTGGAAAGATGTTGGTGAATTGGCGCCAGAACGCTTGGATTTCCTTATCATTGAATTGAATCAGTTCGGCCTCTAAGCTGCTCTCTGAGGAGCTGCCATAGATTTGCTTGTGCTTTTGGTTTGTAAAGAGATTCATGGCGTGCAGCACGAGTGCCGGCTCCATCACCAGATAGTGATTAGGGCAGGCATCTTTAGTTGCATAGCTCTTCACCAGAAATGTCTTGCCATCGGTTTTGCCCTTCAATAAAGCCTGATCCAGGTTATTGACATCGCCCAGCTTGAGTGAGCGCATCTCCTTTTGGTCCTTGAGAAACACCTCTGCACACTTCAATGGGCTAAGCCCAGCTGGCTGGCAGGTGGGACAGTATGTATATGGTTCAAAGACCTTGGTCAGCTCCATAACATGGTCCAAATTGCGTATGCGCAACGCCGCAAATATGTTATCGATGCGCACCATTGTTTGCTCCTTTTCTGAGTACGGCTTGAGGATCTTCAGCAATCGCTCCTCGATCAGAAAGCCACCGCGATCAGCCAGCTTGCGCAATATGTTGCGCATAAGGCGTGCAGATTCTAGCGGCAGTTCCTGCATGGGTCCGCGTGGTTTCTCCTCGTCTTCGGTAGCCGTGTATCCAGAGCCGCCGTATTGCTTAGGCAATTTGCCAAAGCGACGCTCGATGCGATCCATGGCGTTGTTGGGTCGCTTCTCCACCGGCTTGTTGATGTTCTCGATGTTTATGTTGGGCTTCTTCCACGGCATCACCAGCTGCTGCTCGTGTAGTATACGGTCGATCTCGAAGATGCGTGTGAGCAAGTCTGTAATCTCCTCGTAGTTGATGTTCCATACGCGATTAAACTTTTCCCGATTAATATTACGCGTGTGCATGGCTTTGGCCTCCATTTCGCTGATGCTTCCGTGCAGTTGCTGAATCTCATTGGTCAGCTTAAGTATGGTGCGACGGCCACTGTGGAAAACTTGCTTGTAGTTGCGCCTGGTGCGCGCAACAATTTCATGAAGGCGTGCAACACGACGCTTTTGCTGATTTGTTATAATTGTGTTCTCATCGTTGCGCCGCTGCAGCACCTGGTAGTTGTAGTCAAGCTTCTCGGAGTTCATCAGCACGTTGTCGCGTGTTCGTCGCAACTCCAGCTCTAGGCGCTCGCACTCCTTCTCCAGGCGCACACGCGTCTGCTTCGTCAGCTCATCCTGTGAGTCTTTCAGCAGTTGCAGCTGCAGCGAATAGAACTGTTCGCGCACGCGCACAAGCTTGGACTTCTCCTCGAAGTTGGTATTGAGTGCGTTAAAGAAACTGCGCCACTTTTCGTCAGCTGTCAACGAGAACGTCTGGCGTTCGTCCTCAACGGTGTTGCGCAACAATTCAAGATGGTGCTTGTAAGATTCCTTTAGGGTCTCCACTTGATTGTCGATGCGCTCGACCAGACAGCATAGATCGGCTGCCTGGTGCTGGCGATCAAATTCGTATTTGGCATTCATGCGATCGATTTCCTGTTGGCAGGCAGCTATCATCTCATCCTTGCGTGCCATTATCTCGGCGATGCGTTTCTTTTGCTCTTCGATCTGATCCCAGAGCAGCATCGGTTCATTGATCTCATTCAGCTCTGTCCATCGCGCTTTAATGTCATCGAACTTGGCCATTGCTTCAATGTTCTCGCCCTCCAGAATCTTTTTCATATCTTTTTGTTGTGCGGCCTCAAAGACACGACGGTTCAGCTCGCGCCGCTCATTTGCCACGCGTATATTGGTAACCAGCTCGTTGCCGAAGCGCACTAGCTGACCCAGCCGGGTGCTGGATAGCTCAAGCTGCTGATCAATTTTACTCATTTGAGCCATTGAACGTTCCGCAAATCCCTTGGGTGTATCTCGCTGTATCTGGCGCATTCGCTGCACAATGGTTTGCCGGCGCTCATCCAGTAAGCGGACAGGCTTGTCGCATTTTTCGTTGACCAAAAGCGAATCAATGTGCGCCTGAAAGGACTCCCAGCTATCTGCATCTGCGGCCTCAGCCTCATCGTGCTCCGATTCAGTTTCGTCCTCCACATCCGCATCGGACTCAATCTCCGTGTTGACGTTTTCTGCCTCAACGTCATCGTCGTCCTTGTTATCGTTATCCATATTGTATATCTGTTAAATTCAACACCAATATATTATATACATAAATCTATACGTGTACTTGGAATAAGATTTTCAGCAGCCAGCTGCTTCTAGATTTCAATTGAATTTCATGTATATAATTACTCAGATTGTCGCTCGAGTTTGGCCGGCTACTTGGATTGGAGTTAGATCGATATCGTTGCCATGCTACGCCAGTGCTGGTTTTCTTCCCATGGGGATGTTTTGTAGAACTGGGCATTTTATTATATGCCCGCATTGTATTGGAGATACTTTATCGAAAAAGTATTGCACGTACATTTTTGTTTACGTCGTCGCCAGCCGCTGTGCGCTCGATGCCAGCTGATTTTAGGGTGACCGTTCATTCGATACCAATTAGAATGGGAACAGTTCACACGAGTGCCATCCTGCTCACACGAACACGCCCAAAACACATTTCTATGAATGTTGATGTCATCTCTATGTATTACATATGTATTTAATTTCATTTAAACTTAAATTAGAATTACATTAATAATTTAAGTACTTAATGCGTGACTGCGTTGCGCACTGCAAATTGCTTTACAGCGTTCAGCCCGATTGAGTTGCATTTGACTCTGATGTCAGAGCCAAATACAGCTCTGCGCTCCTGGGTTGCATTCGTATTTTATTTTTCCATAGGCCATTGCAAATCTGTTTTAAAATTTTGAAAACCAGCAAGCAAATGCGTTTTATTGAACCGTAATACACAATTTTGTGGAATTGCTTAAAGTGCACATACATATACCTATGTATGCGCATACATATATATATCTATTTCCTCATTTCTATTTACAAAATGTTTGCCACGGGTTGATGGGGAGGGGGGATGGCTGGCTGGCTGGCTAGCTCAATTGCTCAGTTATCCTCAGTCTCCAATGTGATTTCATAAATCAATTCGTCGTCATTATACTCCTGGCCAACCGGTTGGTACTGCTGCCTCTGTTGTGTTTGTTGGTCAAGTGCAGGCTCCAGATACTGTTCATCATCGTCCAGTACCTCTTCGTGGTGATCATCTTCGGCTACCTGCTCGACGAGCAAGCCCTCATCCTCGTAATTGCTTTGATCGAACTGCTGCACATATGGCTGCTCATCTTCTACCTCCTCGTGCAAAAAGTTGCCATTGACTGTTTCGTAGATGGCATCGTTGCGGGCTTGCTCTTCATCAGCATCGACGCCAACGCCATCGATGCCGTCAACGCCATTGGTGTCCGCTGATTCAACAAGCAAACCGGCATCCTCATCATAGTCTTCTTCTAGCATGCCCGGCAGCTCATTGCATTCGCCCATGATGTCACCATCCTCGTTGGGTGTACGGCTTTCATCTTCATTGACCAGGCGTCGTGTATTACTTCGGCATTGGATTGAGCGCTTGTGCGCATCGAAGTAGTTGATGTCTGTGAATTCCTCCTGGCAGAGATGGCACACATACGTATCCTGATTCAGGTGCATCTCTTTCCGGTGTCGTGCCATTTTGTGTGCATCCCGGCATTGCATACCACAGAACGGGCACTTTAGCATCCGCCGCTTGCCCATGTGTACGTTGCGTATGTGCTCCTGCAGTGAGAAGTTCTTATAATAGGCTTTCTGGCAGTATTGGCATTGGAATCGGCGCTTCTTCTCGTGAGTCGCTTCGCGGTGCCGCTTCAGTTGTGTGTTCTGTGCAAAGGTTTTGCCGCACATCTCGCATATGTGCTCTTTCTCCAAATGCCGACGCTGGTTGTGTACGCGCAAATCCTGCTTGGTGGAGAAGTACAGCTTGCAGGGCTCGCACACATATGGCCGGATGCCCATGTGACGTCGGGCATGCCCGGCCAAGTATTTACAATCCCGATACGTTTCGGTACAGTAGATACACGCGTAACGGTTTGTGCCAGGTACCATGTGCGTCTTTTGATGCTTGGACAGTTTGGATTTGTGCATGACATCGGGGCAGATGCCGCACTCAACCGGCAGCTTTTCATCATGTACACTGCCAATCATAGAGAACTCTACAATAGGCGTACCATCTTCATCAAAGTCCACAATGGTGGCAATCAGCTCGTCGAATAACAAGTATCGACGGGGTCCCTTGAATAGGTCCAACATCTTTTCACTGGGTTTAGTCAATTGTGCCGGCTCCTCGCTTTCCTGCACGTCTGACGCATCCATTTCCTCATAGGCATCGCTGTCATCTATTAGCGAATGCGTTACATAGTTCCGCACCAGACTTTGTGGATTGGGCTTTGACTTATTGCGGGTGACCTGTACTGAAGTCCTGGGGGCTGTTGACAGCGTCGTCGTAGTTGCCGTCGACTCAAGCTCGACTGCCACAGATTCTGACTGTGGTGAGGGTGTCTGTACGTAGTTCCATTCAAAATTCTGCTGATCTTGTTCCACACCTTCTTCATATTGTTCATATTGCTCGTACTGTTCTTCGACCTGCGTACCATCTTCTTCCTCCTCTTCCTCCTCCTCGACTAGATCATCTAGATCATCTGGAAACTGCTCCGCCTCCATATACTGCACATTCTCGAATGGCTCGTCTTTTGGGACGCGCATCATGGCCTGCTGAAGCTCGGGATAATTGACCAGTTGTTGTTGCAACTGAGCGTTGTCGATGAGCAACTGCCCTTCGGTCCCATCATCGTTTATTAACAGGAACTCCTCATTTTTAAAATCTCGCCCCACATCCACAGCATCTAGGACCACATAGTGATTGTTGCCATCCGCATCGTCGTCGTCGCCGCCACCATCGTTGTTCTGCTCGGAGAATTCTGATTTCGTGGGCAATACGAATTCAATAATTTCTGACATGTCGATGTTTAGGCTCATCGGACTGTGTTTGCAATTGTTACTGCCTGTATTAATTTATTTAGCCGCTTCGCTTGTATTTATCGTGTGGCATTAGTGATTAGTGATGAAAAAATGCTGGTGTGACATCTGTCGATAGGTTGTGGAGGCCAGTCGATCGATTTTAGAACCTGTCATGCGATATATTAACGCTCCTATCGCATAACAGCAATCACTGATATATTCCCAGTTAAAATTTTTTAAAATTTATTTGGCTAGAATATAGCTTTACTTAGATTTGAGTGAAAATGCCGAAAAAGTTATTGCTAAAATATTAAGCACTCTCTTTTCACTGTTTTTTTAAGTGCTTATATATTTTGGTTAATTGCGATTAACGATTCATCGATTCATTTGCAACTGTTATCGGAAATCATAGATCTCAAACTGTCCCAAGTTGGCAGCTCCGTTAGCTTTCAATCCAAATTCGCTTTGGCGCCCAAATCACAGAGCATGCGTACCAACAACGGTCGCGTCTTCTACTCACTTCGTTTTATCATCATTGTTGGGGCTTGCGGTTAGCCAACTTCTTGGCCATCCGATTCGCCACACAGTGCATTTCGTTGGCGCTTGCGGCTTATTTGATTTGCACACTTGGTAGCGTGCGTTTGTGCCGGAGCATTGTCGCCGCCCGTGTTGGATACGTTAGCTGTTTTTTTTTCTCGTCTTCTTCTTCTGCGTCTTCTGATTGTTATTGTGTGTTTCTCTTGCATTTTCGTGTGAAGTGCGCGCATGCGTAGCTACCGTTAGTTAAATATTTTAAATTTGCGGTCTTCTGCAGCACTAATAGAAAATTTTGTAATTGACGCGATATTGTGTAAGCATTTAAACTCACATTAATTTTACAATTTTTGTTTCTGTGTTTCTGTGCGGTTAAGTTAAAACTAGCAAAGTGATATTCTTAATAAAAGAATGAAATTATTGAATAGTAAAAGGATGTGCTTAGAGCCTTCGGTTTTTTTTTTGTTTTTTTTTTTCCCTTGTTTTCGTCAAGGTGAAACGAATGTGTCTGCGGGTTTTTGGCTGTGCCCTTTTCAATAAAATGTTTTTACTTTCGAACTTGAACGGCTAATTGTGGCGATTACAATAACAGCAACAACAAAATATGGCTAATAAAGTGACCGTCTTCACCTGACAACAGCAGCTAATAAATAAATAAACAAACAAACAAACAAACAGAAATCAAATAGTATTACGCAAAGTTGCAAACGCATTATGTTGATGTTGATTTAAGCTTAAGTTTGCTTTTATTTGCCTTTATTTGATGGCTGCTGCAATATCTGGCTTATTTGATTTGACTGACAAATGCAAACTTGACCCGCTTTTGCCCAGTCCAATATTAGATTTAAGCACAAATGTGTGGCAGCCGGTGGCCAGTTGCACGTTGACCAGCGGCAAATTGGCCTTAATTTGCTTTGCTGTGTTTGTAACATATAAATTTTCATTTCAGTTGCTTAGGCCTGGGCGGCTGGCCAAAGACGTTGCTCATTTTGCAGACGCGACCAGATTCTCAAGACCAGGCCAATTAAGAGCAACGTTGACGTCGCCGAAGAGCTTGGCAGCAAAAAGCGACCACAAGAAGTGGCAGCAACAGGTGTTGGCAACGGCAACGCGACCAAGTGGCATCATTTGCGGTTGCACTGTTGCCAGTTGCCCGCGTCGGGCGCAACGGGAAATTGGAAAATCGGAAACATGTTCTTGCGGCGTCGCGGCAAGTCGCATAGTCGCCTGCCACTTTCCGCTCTTATCGGCCTGATGCATCGGCAAGTGGAGCCGCAACAGCAGCAGCAGCAGCAATTTGTGTGTCATGCTGGTTGGGCAACCAGAACGGCAATCGCGCTGGGCGTGTTTCTAGCAGCCGCATCTGCAACAGCTTTGGGCACACCTGCTGTCGCCGCTGCCGCCGCTCCAGCTGCCGGCTCAATGCAAATCCAGATGTTGCAGGTGAACTGCACGCGTGAGCTGCTGGACATGCAGCTCACATTGAGTCGCACATTTCGCGGCCTGCTTTATGCCAAGGACTTTCCATTGGAGTGCCGGTCACGCGGCCAGGATGCCACGCAGATAGCGCTGCGAGTGCCCACCTCTGGCTGTGGTGTTCGCGCCGAGCCGCTGCCAGATGGCAGCATGGAGTACACAGTCCGCATCATGCTGCAAATGGAACAGAAACTGCGCCAAAGTACCGACATTCTGCGCACTGTGCGCTGCCAGCTGCCTGCCAAGGCCATGGGCATGCCCTTGCCGCCGCTGCACGGACGAGATCGGTATGTGGAAATGCGGCCATTGAAAGTTAAACAAATTCAATTTTAAATTGTCCTCAAAATCTCTTGCAGCAATGCACGAATGCGTGCTTTGGCCGTTGTCGCGTCCTCTGCAGCTGCGCATGCTTCGCATCATATGGATACGCCGCGTGTACGCATTTGGCTTGAGCTGGGCGGCCCCAATGGTTCCGGTTCTGTCGAAGTGGGCGTGGCAACCACTCTAACTGTGCGCGCCATAGTGCCCGGCACAATTGGTGTGCGCGTCGTGGACTGTGCCGCACTCGACGGCTTGGGTGAGTCGACACAGCAGCTGCTCGACGCCCGCGGCTGTCCCATAGACGAGCAGGTGAGTCAATCAAATTGAACAAATCGCATAATTTGCATAACTTGCGAACGATTCTGCGATACGACGCTGGCCAGACAAATAATTAATTAAACATAATTTGAATGTGCTTTAGAGATGAATCTTTGTTGCTTATCGATTGATTGGCAAAACTTTCAATTTTACCAACACTGCAAAAGTGAGTGCAATTTGTGATTCGGCTGGCAACGCCAGTCCTGTGTGCAGCAGCAACTGTTGTTATTGTTGTTGTCGTCGCAGTGTTGTGCAATTGGTGCGCATCATTAAATATAACGGTTATTACAACACTCAACCAGCACTGACGTCAGCAGCGAGTCAAAACCGAAAACGGTTAGACGTAATTACGCGCGCATCGTTAGAACAGTTTGCGTTTGCGTTTGCGTTTTGCGCCTGCCCAGCCAAGCAGCTTAGTGGCCATTAAAAGCAACTGCCTCTGCCTCTGCCTCTGCCTCTGCCTCTGCCACTGGCACTGGCTCTGCCAAGCGTTCTTCAGTTCTTCTTGAGTAAATTAGGAGGTCACAACAATTAGCCAACAGTGGAACACATAGATATGTATATTTGGCGTTTAACATTTTGACATGGCTGCCCGCAAAGGCAAAGGCAAAGGCAATAGCATTAGCATTAGCATTAGCAATAGCAATAGCAATGCCAAGCTAAAAGCATTTGCATTTGGTCGTCGGCGCCGTCGCAGCTTTGTGCACATGTCATGACAGAAAATGGGTCAAACAAATCTTCTGCTGCTGTTTGGCCATTGTGAGGTGGCTGGCTGGCAAGAAAAATCACACGGCTTAATTTGTATTTTTATTTTAACGGACACCGACACGGACACGGACACGGGCAAAGCCAAGAAAACATTTGCATTTTATGTTTGTTTTATTGTTCGTCACAATGCTAACCCATCAGCCCATCAGTGCCCCAACTCCGTCTCCGTCTCCGTCTCCGATCCCGTCACCATCCATCGTCCCCCGCCAAACGCGCTGCGACGCTGTCTTCCGTTTGAGCACATTTTCGTTTTCTTTCACGTTTAGTTTTATTGTGTTTGCAAATAATTTATGCACCCGTTGCCAGCTTGGATTATTTATTTGGCTCAGAGATGGCTTCTAGGTCAGTGAGCTTTGCTTTGAAAAGTGAAACATTCTGCGGCTGCAGAACAGTTTCTGATCAGAATGTGACCTACAAAAATCTACACGTTACGAATGCACCTGACCTAAAACCCACCCTCGAAACGGTGCAGGCCTGGCCAATGGCAAATGACAATACACAAATAAGCCGAGCTGGTCTTAACTCCAGGCCCCAATTTGGGCGTAGGCTCAATGCCTTGTCCGATCTATCTATATGGCACACATGCTACTAGACAGAAGGAAGCATCTACTCCTAGACTACAAAGTATATATGTTCTTGATCAGCTAGAGCCATATAATGTGTCTGGCTTATATTCGTGTCCTGTTACTCTCATAAAAAAAGAAAACTGAAATCATTTTTGAGATGTGTTTTTCTAAAATCGCAAGCTATAAGAACCAGATGCCTAGATTAGCTTACTTTTAATTGCTTATTATAGTTTTTAGCGGTAGATGTGTAAACCGTACTATATATATATATATTCTTGATCAGCATCAACAGCCGAGTTGATATAAACACGTCTGTCTGTCTCAGCTTTAAATCTATTGTCCTAAAGCCTCGCCTAAGTCCGTCTTTCAAAGCATATATCTGTCGAAAAGTCTTATAAGAATACCTTTCTGATTTGTCAAGACATCTTGACCCAAACTGGGAATCTATTCGTTAACTATGCTAATCTAGAATAGACTAGTATAGCAATAATTTCTAATGAAATCAGCTGAAAGGCAGCCAGATTTAGCTGTGTTTCAAGATACACACACACACACACACACACACACACACATATATATATATATATATATATATATATAGTCTTACTATTCTCCATATATACCCTGTAAGCCTTAGTTCTACAAGAGTATTTAAGAAATTGGTTTATTTATCAGGCGGTTTGTTTCGCTTCTGATGACAGTTTTCTGATTTGGTTTCAATTCGAAAAAGCTTCAGTAGGGTTGATAGAGTTATTATTATGTTTCTTTTATTGAGTTTATTTAATTAATTTAATTTAATTAAATTGGTTAAAGTTAACCATGCGCCAGCCTGGCTTTTATGGCTGTTTGAAGAAAAACCTAGGTCAGTTTTCGATTTAGTGAAATCAGTCAGCTGTGCCCTAGAGCCAAATGGATGTGTCTTTGAACTGATTTGAACTTCCGTTGCAAATTGTGTATTGCTAGTGTTTATAGTTGTAATTGTTTTAAGTTTCTCACAAAAACACACACGTGCTCTTGAGGTATGTAAATTGAAACCAGGTAGCGGCTGCTGCAACTTGTGGCATGCAGCAAGTACAAGTGGCAGACAGCAACAATGGCAAGACGTAAATCACATGAGGCTCTTATTTCATACTCAACCATCTACATACATATATGGCTAATGTACGCTTATATGTCTATGCACCAGTGTTGTCAACATGAAAAAGTAGCTATTATTCAGTGTTTGAAATAGCTAAAAACTGCTGAATCAAGCTGAGAGAGACAAAAGGTTGCCACTTTTTGCGCTGTTTCCCTTGAAGCAGGTTAAGTGCTTCGCTTAAATTGCTTGGCCATGTTTTATGTAAATCATTTTGCTATTGAGATGCTCTATGAACTAATAAAATGGATTCTTCTTATCAGAATAGCTAAATTCGTTTGAAAATAGCCAGAATTTCAGCATTTTTACTGCTAGCCAAATGTAGCTAAAAAGAAATAGCTCAATTGGCAACTCTGCCTGGCACACACAGAGTTCAAAGCTGAGCAGCATTGTTGTTGTTGTTGTTGTTGTTGTTACTGTCCGTGAACTTGGCTTATGGCTTTTGTTACCGTTGCTCGCAACGGAAGTGGCCAAATAATGCACGTGTGTGAGTTGAGTGCGGGGTGGCACTGCCACTGCAACTGAAGTGTTTTCTGTCGTCAGCCACAATTGTATAAGCGGCCATAAACAGTGCCCACATTCGACAAGGGTCAACAGAAACTGGTTCACTTAGCGAACAGTTATACTCTGGACTCAGTTAGGCCAAGTGCTTAGCTAATGCTGGGAGGAACTTTCAATTTCGGGTTCGCTTTAAATATACGTACATATATAAACATTCTTAAAACCCTAAGGCATAGTTGAAACATTTGAATAATTTATGCAAACTGTGTTCGATTATTGAAATGATTTTCACCAGCAAGAAGAGTAGCCCCACACATTGGTGTGTAGCCGACTGTGTAATACTCTGTTCACAGTACAATTACCGATTAAATCAGTCGAACAGAGTTTTCTTGCTGGTCGCTCAAAAATTCTAAACCACAGTGCAGGCTTTCAACTGTGACCTTAGAAGCGGTGAGGGTGGATGTGACCGCAATATTTACGGCTCGATATTTAGAGAAGGTCATTAGTCATTAGTCATTAGTCATTAGACGTCGAGCTGCCAACTCTGTTAATTATGGCTCTAAGCGAAAACTCGACCGATTTTCCATTGGGGATATATTATATAGTAGCTCGATGTTGATATAAGCCACATGATTCCTTTGCAACAAAAAGACGGACCTATGCAAAGCTTAATGACGATAGCTTTGACAATGAGAAAATAGGTTGCATAGAAAATGACAGTCAGATATGGCTATATTGACTTGACGGTTGATTAGGATCGAGGTCTAATATGATGTCGATTATGATTCTGTCAATGTCATCTGCACTTGGTCAACTTGTAAAAATCCAAGGAAAACAGTAATGCATTGCCGAGAAGCTAATAATAGGCTAATTTCATTGAAAATGGGAAACAGAATTTCCAGCATATAGATAAATTGCAAGAATGCACATCTGACAGAAAATGTAAATTGAATGTGAGTTTACTTTTGCTTATTTAAATAAAATTTAATTTCATAATTGTTTTTTTTTTTTTTAATGTACTTAATTTGCTTGCCAGCAATAATAAAGCTCGAAGAGTTTCTCTCTCGCAGTGCGATCAAAATTTTGTCGATGTCATCCGAAGATAACAATTAAATACGAATACTTAAACACAAACATTTGCAGGTAATGCCGGCGCTGCACACAAGGTTCAAGCCCGCCGAGGAGGGCTGGTCCAAGCAGCACGAGGAAGATCTGGTCGAGCGGACGTTCATGGCAACATTTCCCGCCTTCAAGTTTCCTGATCGCGAGCGCCTGCACGTCAGCTGCGGCGTGCAGCTCTGCAAAGGGAAGTGTCCGAATGTGAGTAGTGTATATATATATATATATATGTATCTATATAATACTTATATGTGTGTGTGCAAAATTAGCTAAGTAACAGACAAGGCCTGGAATGCATATTAATTAATTGCATTGAAAACGAAAGTGTTTTTGCTGTTGCTTGCGTTTTGTTTGTTTTTTCTGCGTGCAACGGAGCGTATACAATTTTACGTGTGTGTGTGTGTGTGTGTGTGTGTGTGTGTGTGAGTGGAAGGCGCCGCTAATTAATGTGGTTATTGCACCAAAATGCACTGAACTGCAGCCCGCACTTGCCAGGCAGCAGGAACAGCAGCACAAGTTGCCCAATATATATATATATATAATAGTAGTTAAATTGCGCTCGGCTTGTGGCTGTGTCAACTAACCAAATCTTTAACTTGGTCGCATGCAGCTCAATTGTCGCCTCGCCGAGCAGCAACTGCAGCTGAACGCCGACCAGCACCTGGCGCGCATCGAAGTGTTTAACTCATTGGCCGTGACCGCGCCACAGATCGAAGTGGATCGTCTGCGCTACGATCGGCGCTATAATATGAGTGGTATGTAGGATTTGGATAGGGCTGTGCATTGATTTAACATATTTGCTTGCTTGCAGTGGAGGATTATGTGCCGAATGTGCGTCCGCTGGTGGGCGAGGGCACGCTGTGTTTGTCCATATCGAAGCTGGCAATATCATTCTGTATACTGGGCTCAATCTTTTTGGTGGCCGTGATTGTGGCCATCTTTTCGCTGATTCGGACACGTCGACGCCAGCAGGGGCGTTGCGCTGGCTTGGGCTTGGCTGGTGCTGGCACCACTGCCAGCACGTCGAATAGCAGCAGTCGCCTGCACCGAGCCGAAATCTGTACATCAATGTTCTCGTCCAGCAGCGAGTCGGCGCAATCTGCGCCACGTTTTGGCGGCAAATTTTTGATGCCCTTGCCTTACTATCCAACTACTTTGCCCTATGGCCGTGTCTATTAAGTTTGGAGTTTGCAATTCATTTGTAACTATTGTTTCCATTTTGGGCATGTTTTGATACAACAATTCTATAGACTGATGTGGCTTCAATCTCAAACATGAAATTCGTTTAACGAATACTCAACGAAAATACCAAAATAAGTTATAACTGCACCATATGATTAGTTGAAAGCGTCTTGAAAGCATTTTACTTTTTGTCGCTAAAATGCGTTTTGATGCGCTTTCATTGTATTAATTGTAGCATTAATTTCAAGCACATTCAATTTTTTTTTTTGGCTTAGTATACTTAACAGTGCAATTGTAATAAAATTTAAATTTAAAAACTATCGAGTCTTTTCGCGGCTCTTTTCCATTTCGATTGTTTGATATGGTTTTTGACAGGTTGGCAGCCCCATGAGCCAATTAGTGCCAGTCCGATATACCGATAACGAAAACGATAACAAAAACGATAGCTCGCATCGGCCAGCTGAAGACGAGCACGTTGTGTTGTGCGGTTCTGTGCACTTTGAAAGATTGTGTTTTGTTTAAAGGCCATTCGACGCATAAATCAAGATGACGAAGACACCGCCAAAGGGGCGCAAAAAGCCGACAACTCGTTACTTTGATGCCGCGGCAGTAAAATCCGAAGACGGCGAAGCGAAACCAGCCAAACTAAAACGCAAACATCAACAGAAGTTCACAGGTGATTTTCTTAAGATGCAGTCGCATGACAAAAACAAAAAGCTACACAACAAAAAGCGGCCGGCGGCTACTGAACACCCCAAAAAGCAAAAGATTCCGCAGGAAGTGTTAGACAAGTATTCACGTGGCGATGCCGTAGACTCGCGGGGTGTCAAAACGCGCCACTTCAAAGAGAAGCAGCAGCGCAAGGAGATCTATTTGGAGTATGCCACAGAACAGGCAGCGCGCACAGAGCTGCTGCTACAGGAGACGGCCGGCCAGCTGGAAGCTGATGAGGAGGAGATTACTGCCAGCTATCGTCAAGAGGAGATTGCGGCCAATGTTGATCTGCAATCGGCGGCCAAACACTTTAGGCTCAAGCTCGACTTTGGGCCGTACACCATGCGCTATACAAAGAATGGAAGGCACTTGCTGCTGGGCGGGCGACGCGGTCATGTGGCTGCCTTTGACTGGGTGACCAAGAAGCTGCACTGCGAATTCAATGTGATGGAGAGCGTATCGGATGTGCAGTGGCTGCACGTGCCCACCATGTACGCGGTAGCCCAAAAGGAATGGGTCTATTTCTATGACAAAAAGGGCACTGAACTGCACTGCGTTAAGCGGCTGTCGCGCGTCAATCGCTTGGACTTTCTGCCCTATCATTTTTTGCTAGCCGCTGGCAACAGTGTAGGATACGCATCTTGGCTCGATGTCTCAATTGGTGAGCTAGTCGGCAATTTCAATACGGGCCTTGGCGACATACGCCACATGCGTCACAATCCAAGCAACGGTGTGCTCTGCATCGGTGGCGGCAAGGGTGTTGTCTCCATGTGGTCGCCCAAAGTTCGAGAACCGTTGGCCAAGCTGCTCTGCCATTCGACTGCGATGACAGCGCTCACAGTTGATCCCAAGGGTGTGCATCTGGTCACCGCTGGCTTAGACCGAATGGTGAAAGTGTGGGATCTACGCAATCTTAACGAAACGCCGCTGGCGATCTTTCGTCTCCGTCTGCCTGCCAACGAGGTGGAAGTATCGCAGCGCGGCATGTTGGCGCTCTCGCAGGGCACCTACTTGGAGACCTACACGGATGTGCTTCATGGCGGTGGCACTGCAAATAGCAATAAGCTGCCCTATCTGCGCCAGCGTTGTGATGCCTTTGTGCATGGCATGCGCTTCTGTCCATATGAGGATGTGCTGGGGGTTTCCACGGCAAATGGCTTTCAGTCGCTGTTGGTGCCGGGCTCCGGTGAGCCCAACTACGATGCGCTCGAGGATAATCCATACGAGACGAGTAAACAGCGTCGCGAGCACGAGGTGCACGCACTGCTGGAGAAGATACCACCCGAGCTGATCACACTGGATCCGAATGAAATAACTGGAGTGGATGCGCCCACCCTACAGGAGAAGGTCGATGCCAAGCGGCAGCTCTTCCACCTGAAACCGCCGCGTATCAACATGAAAATGCGCCACAAAATGAAGGGACGTGGCGGCAGCGCTAAGGCGGCACGCAACAAGCAAATAGTCAAGGATCTGCAGCGCAAGGTGCGTAGAATTAAGACGTTCCCTTTCCACATTATAAATCAAAAATATTTTCCTCTACAGGAGTTTATTTCGGAGGTGCGCAAGGCCAAGCAGGGCCTCATCGCCTCCCACAAGCATGGCGATGACGGCGACAATGTGCAGCAGGCGTCAAGTGGGAAGGCCAAAACGCCAAAACCCGTACGCTCCGTCTTGGATCGCTTTAAGCCCAAGCCCCAGAAAAAACAGAAGCCCACTAATTGAATATCTGATAGTAGTTTCTTTTATATAATAAATTGTTAAGTTATAATTTCTAAATAACAAAATTCACATACTAGGACACTTTTAACTACATTAAGGAAATTACTTAGCTGTCGGCAGATTTAATTAAGTGCAGCTTATTTTTAATGCTCAGAGAATCCTCTCTGAATCTCGCGGAGCGGAGCTACCTTTGCAAACATTCTAGCTATCTTCTATACATACAACCGTTTAACTATGGGAAATGTATTCTTGAACAGAGTCGGTGCTTATAGTCCGATCTTTATGAAATGTTTAAAAGGCTCTGCCCTTGTTACTCGAGTAATGTATGAATATTTGGCTCGACTTGGGCGCCATTTCATATATAAACAAATGAATGATTTGTGAATTGAATGAATTTCATCAATACCGATTTTAATTTTGTATGTTTATATTTTTAATGCTTTGGCAACATTCTATGGACAGACATCAGAATTATATCGTAATTCTACATAAGGTTATTTGATCAGATAACTTTTCTGTTAAAATTTATGTACTTATATATTTAAGCTAAATATCAGCATTGATTATGCGTCATAAATACGCTAGGTTGTAGATATTGTTTTAATTTTTAAGGCCCATCTATAATTAGGAAAACAGCCTGACTGTATACATTGTCTAGAAAAGGCAGTTGAACTACATAGAATAGAACGTTAGAATATTTTACAAGCATGGACTGCGAGTAGGCTGGTTGGCTCCAGCCTATTACAATTTAAAAGTTTAGTAAGAGTTGGCATTCAGCAGCATCTGACATGCTTCAATCGTAGCTGAGAATGCACTTGAGGTAGTTGGCCACGCGGTCGGATGCGTTATTTTCCATTTCCTGGAGAGTTGCCTGCAATTTGGCAAGATCGCCAAAATGGCGGGCATAGTAGAATAAGTTTAATATGCGCCTTTGGTTCTCGAAACGGCTTTCCTCCGTGCTGAAGTCGCCTGTGACCAGCAGCTGCTCAATGTTCGCAAGCACCTCGGACGCACTATCCATGAGCGCCGTCATAAAGACAACGTTCTGCTGGCGGCAGAGCGTTGACATGGCCGTCAAAGTAACATCGGCGACACTGGGCTTGAGCAGCAGCTGGGGCAGATAGCCGAGAAACTTCGTAAACTGATACTTGCCGCCGTAGCCCTTGTAAAGTTCATTGCGCTGCACAATCAGGCACAGCAGATTGAGCACCTTTGTGGCAACGCCCTCGCGTGTCGTAAACTGCTGCCCCACGTAGGCGTCAATGCAGTTCTGCATCACAGTGCCCATATGATGGGCCTGAAGCTGCAGCAGTGCCGCACCATTATCCAGCAAGAGGGCGCGCAATGCGGCCACCAGACGCAGCTGCTCATCTGTGGTCAATGTGTGCAACTGGCGCAAGCATTGACTTACATAGTGCAGCAGGGGACCGTAGTCGTCGCCCTGTTCGCTATCAGGATGCGGCCAGAAGTAGCAAACGAGCTGCACCAGGCTCAGGTTCTGTGCAATGCACAGTTGCCCGCCAGCAGCTGGTGCCTTCATCTTTTTTCCTTTTTTCTGTTTCAGACTGTCAGCCATGGGCGTTTGCTGGTACGGATAATTGCCTTCCTTGAGGAATATGCGTGCAAATTTGCCTGCATATGTCCGCCGCATCCAGTCGCTCAGCTCGTGCGTGCTTTCCTGCTGCGTGCTCTCGTACTGGCGCACAAGTTGCCACAGCTGTGTCATGATGTTCAGCAGCACGTGCAAACTGGCCGCGGCATCAGCATTGAGCAGCTGGGTCTGCTGCAGCTGTTGTGGGCGCACCTCCATCCAGTTGTCGTGCAATAGCGGCATAAGCTGCTCCACATAGCTCAACAGCTGCTCGTCCTCGGCTTTGCGTGCTTTTTCTCCTAGAATGGTGTGCAAATCCCGCCTGTCGATTAACGGCGGACGCACCACATTGTAATACTGGGGCGTCGCGGCATTATAGTGGACGACACGTGCTGCTGGCCGGGCATTTTTGTCGCTCTTGCCTTGCTGCAGCAGCGTGCTGAGAATTTGCTGAAGGCGCAGCAGCACCTTGGTCCGCCACTTGATGGTCGTCAGCTGTCCCTGTCCCTGACCCTGGCCTATGCGCACAGTTAGCAAGCGATTGGTGTGCTGGGTATCGTGGCGCTGCCGTGATATCATGTCAATAAAGTTACTGATAATGGTGCTGGCACTGCGTTCGGCCAGCAGGCGGGATGGCACGCGCTGCAGCAGCACGTCCAACAAGAGCAGCGAGTCCTCCTGTATAGCTGGCTGCACATGCGTCATGGCACAGCGCAAATAGGCGGCAATAATGTGAAAGAATGGCGCAACGGCGTCAACTGGCAACGCCTCGAGTAGCACATCTAGTGTCTTATACGATTCGCTTCGTACATCGCGCTCCATGTCCAATGCGCCGGCGGCAATTCCCTGCAGCAGCTCATTGAGATGGCCGATGAGATGACTGGCTTGGCCGGCCTTGACGGCGTCGCGTACATTGCGCAGTGCATCCGTGCGAAACTTGAGGTTGTGATGCTTTAGTCGGGATAGAGCCTCTTTTAAATTCAATTGGCGTTGGCCGTTATTTGTTGGCAGGTAGGATTCCTTCAGCTGTTCGCGTATTTCAATTTTGCGCACCTTAAAGTCTGTCTTGGTCACATTAAGGCCCTTAGGTAGCTTGGCACCTTTCAATTTCACTTTTGCCTTTTCGGCACGTATATTCTTCTTGTGATGTCCACCCATTTTATGAGAAGATTAAATTTACAATTTGAATCAAAACATGTGCTGCAGCCGGCACGGTTGTACGTATACAAGATAAGAATCGCCAATCGACTTATCGATATTTTCCAGAGCTACTGTAATCAGCAGTGCTGCCAA